CACTCACAAAGCTGGAGAAGGCTATAAGAAGCTAGCAAAGCGTTTTCAGATGTCAATATCCTCTGTTCGGAATGTAATTAAGAAATGGCAGTCATCAGGAACAGTGGAAGTTAAAGCAAGATCTGGAAGACCAAGAAAAATATCAGACAGAACAGCTCGCAGGATTGTGAGAAAAACAATTCAAAACCCACGTTTGACTGCACGATCCCTCCAGAAAGATCTGGCAGACACTGGAGTTGTGGTACACTATTCCACTATAAAGAGATACTTGTACAAATATGGTCTTCATGGAAGAGTCATCAGAAGAAAACCTCTTCTACGTCCTCACCACAAAAATCATCGTTTGAACTTTGCAAATGAACATATAGACAAGCCTGATGCATTTTGAAACAAGTTCTGTGGACCGATGAGGTTAAAATTGATCTTTTTGGCCGGAATGATCAAAGGTACGTTTGGAGAAGAAGGGCACAGAATTTAATGAAAAGAACCTCTGTCCAACTGTTAAGCATGGGGTTTGGATCAATCATGTTTTGGGATTGTGTTGCAGCCAGTGGCACAGGGAACATCTCACGAGTAGAAGGAAAAATGGATTCAATAAAATTTCAGCAAATTTTGGATGGTAACTTGATGCCATCTGTGAAAAAGCTGAAGTTAGAGAGGATGGCTTCTACAAATGGATAATGATCCTAAACACACCTCGAAATCCACGGGGGATTACATCAAGAGGCGTAAACTGAAGGTTTTGCCATGGCCTTCACAACCTCCTGACCTCAACATAATTGAAAATCTATGGATAGACCTTAAAAGAGCAGTGCGTGACAGACAGCCCAGAAATCTCAAAGAACTGGAAGACTTTTGTAAGGAAGAATGGGCAAAGATACCTCAAACAAGAATTGAAAGACTCTTGGCTGGCTACAAAAAGCGTTTACAAGCTGTGATACTTGCCAAAGGGGGCAGTACAAGATATTAACTCTGCAGGGTGCCCAAACTTTTGCAGACGCCATTTTTTTGTTTTCTGTTATTTTGAAAGTGTAAATGATGGAAATAAAATCTAACTTTTGTTGACATATTATAAGAATGTCTAATCTATAATTTGATGCCTTTTGGAGATTTTTCCATCTTTCCTTGGCTTCTTGATGCACATTAATACAAATTTTTAGCTGGGGTGCCCAAACTTTCGATCCCCACTGTATGGGTTTTGGAACCTTGCTGGATATACCTACAGCAAGTTCTCCCTGGCAAATCAAGTCTTTTCTAGATCACCATTGCTTTTTGGGGGCCTCTATCCAATTTATGTGTTTCAACACCCCTTCCAACACCCTTTTATTATTTAAAATAAATTTAAAATGTTGCATTTAGATTGGGAACACCTTGTAATGTGCACAGAAGGTGTGCAGACACAGGATCTTGAGCACAGTTTCTGAGTGATGTAAGCATATCTAAGGTGGTCTCACCTACCAGCATATACAAAAAGCCTAAAACCCAATTTTCTTTGGCCTTGACCCTGTAATTGTTTCTGCTTCTTGTTGAACTTAAAAAGGATCTTCTAAAGTAGTTTAATTTTCTATCAAGTTCAAAGGCATCATGCAAGTGAATACAAATCAGTTATGGAAAAGAAATACGGTACTATGGAAAGTTAGCATTTAAATTTTTGATTTTCTGTTCTTTTACCTGCATGTTTTTTAGTTAGTGACAGGGTCTCATTAAAGTCTGTCATCTGTTCAGATTAGTTAAATGATACGCACTTGAGCCATTAGCGGTCAAACAGAATTCCATGGTTTGACTACAGCAAACAGAAATCTGTTCATTAAATGTTCTTACACTTTGCAATTTCTTTTTTCATTGTTCTTACCATACTGAACAGTTCCATTTTTTGTTTTTTGCATTTATTTCCAGGTAGTTGTTTATATGTAATAAATAACATTCCATAGGCGACCACTGGCTATACTATACCTATGTTTTCTGTTCTTCAAAAGAGGATTGCCATGGTAACTGCTTTGTGTTTTGACACTATGTTCATGGTAGATTTTGCATTATCTTGTGACATTCTAGTGCATGTGAACACAAAGCAGCCTTTATGGACAGGATCATGCTGAAAAATGTAGCCAATTTGTTCAGGTTAAACAAAGAAATCTCTCAGTTGGTATAACCCTGCCTGCAAGGCTCAAGCATTAAAAAATATATGAAGAGCACATCCTGGGATAGAAAGAAGAAATTGCCTTAATTCTATTAAAGGTGCAGGCTCCAGAGCCATCAGATGCTAGTAAGTCACTGACTGGAATAAGTATGCAGCCAGAACTATTGACTGGCATACAATTTCCAGATCAGTGATTGACAATTTAGTGAACCAAGGACAAGGATGACAACCCTGGAGCTTGCTCTTTTTAAAATGAAAAAAAAAAAGTCAGCAATGGCAGTTCCTATAGTTCCATCCCAATTTTTTTTTTATTCTGACAGGTTTTAGTAAAAGCAATTCTATCGCAAATTAAAATATACCAAACAATTTCCCCTGTAAATAAGAGATATTATACTTACTTGTCCTGTTATCCACGTTGCCACTTTTTGCTTTCTTTAAGGACCACGGATATTCTTAATCAGATACTCTTCCTGGGGTGTCGGATTCCTGGTCTCCTGTTGTTATCTATGGAGACTACCTCATTAGCGATGTAGGGGCCAGAAGGTACCTTTATGCCAGCCATAGATGGGTCGACAATTGGCCCATATTCGCACTGTTAGTGGGTTAATTGGTCGCCCGTTTTTAATTTTTTTTGCGCAGTTTTTTTTTTATCGGTCATGTTGGAAAATTTGCTGCCAATTTTGACAATCTGACGATTTTCCCGGCAATGATGTGCAAATCGGATGATCGTTTTACCGATAAAAAAATCCGCACATGAGCCGTGACCTGCAAAGGACAGAAGTTACGGGGTGAACTTTATGATTTAGTCGGCCGATTTTTTTTTACCGTTGGTGGTAACGTCAGCCGACCGAACGACCGATTTTTTTTTTTTTTCCCCCGAAAAATCAGCCGATTTTCGACCTGTCTATGGCCTGCATTAGGTAGCATTGAGACTGGTAAGTAGTATGTCTCCTCTCTACAGGGGCAACATTTTTTCTATATATCAATTTTAGGTCATTAAATATAAAGTACACTGGGGCCTCATAGAAAATCTGCTAAATAAGAAAATACTTAGTAATAAAAATCAGGGCCTAGAAGTAATTTTTAAGGAGGTAGTTAGAAAATGGGAGGAAGGAAAATGTCATTGTTTCCTTTTTCATTTTTTTTTTGCAATCCGTTTCTTACAAGCGTAACAAGGAGATATTTTGTTGTAACCATGATACATCATTCAAATTTAGGTTATCTAAATGTCCTATATTTAAAATAAGTAATATACGGAATAGAGACTCAAGAAAAGCACGGCAGCGAACCTACTTACAGTAAATGTTGTCTTTTTTTTTTTTTGCATTACCCTGTATTACCTCTAGATGTCCCTACTTTCTCTTGTTACTGCTTTAAAATTAACGCAAGATTTTAACTTTAAAAAAAATTAATGGAAATGTATTTATCTGAAAAAAAATCACTGAAAGAAGTGAAATGTATAATAATGCAAAAAAATATATAATCGTGTTAAATATCTTAACCAGCAGGTACCAGGTACCTACAATGTAATGAAATCACAAAAAATGGAATGGTGCCTACAATGCTTTCTATTCCATAAGGCTCCAAGTGTCCTCTGCTTCTAAGGCATGCCCCTTCATTTATGTGTAAGATACATTTACCAAGAAACTATAAATATTAAATTATAAATACTTCCTATTCTTACTACCAGCAGGTGAATGGAGCAGTGGGCTAAGGAAAGAAGGGTAAAGTGGTGTAGACACTATGAGAAAATATTAAGAAAGATTTGGTATGAGGCACGATCGTTTGATTTACGTATAGTGTGTGTACACAACTTTCAACATCTGAGTGAGACTTTCTAATTGAAAATTTCTGAAGGGGCAAACGCCAAAACTTTTCTCGTACGTGAACAGAACTAAAAATTTTCGTTTAATGTTTTGGGTTTTTTTTTGAGAATAATAAGATACCAAAAATTGCGCATGATCAGAAACAAAAGCTTTTGTCCTACGAGCATTTTCGTACGATTAGTACATTCCTCTTTTTCAACCTGCTGTAAAAACATCAAGGAAAACCAGACGATCGTTTTGTCCGATTTTTTTAAGTATTTGCTGCTAGGGAGGTCTGTGTTAAAAGGAACCTGCTGCTTTGTCCTGCATGGCCAAAGCACTGATCACTTTAAAGTATATGTAAACCCTCACAACCCATTCATTTGTCTATAAATGTAGAAAAAAAAATTATAAATACCTTTTTCCCCCTTTTTATAAGTGATCACATTCCTTCTATTCTCAGCTGCATAAGGAGCTCAGGAAGGAGAAACAGAAGCACACTTAACTTCCCAGTGAATGTAGGGGGACATGTCATCAGACGTCTGATCATTCGAGGAAGCACACTGAGTCAGAGAACTGACCATGCTGTGCTCTCACGCCAATGTGATGAGTTTTAATAGGAAAGCAGAGGGACTGGCAGAAACACCATATATTTCACACAGAGGAAGCCATACAAACAGAACAGGACACTTTTTCATACAAGTACATGGTATAGCAGGTACATATCAGGAATATGAAATGTTGGGTTTACATATTATTTTTTTTTACCATATTTTTCGCTCTGTAAGACGCACTTTTTTCCCCCCAAAAAATGGGGGGGAATGTCTGTGCGTCTTATGGAGTGAATTTGGAGCGGCCGGCCCAGAATTCCTGCCGCTCCCGTGTTAGAATACCAGGCCAGCTGCTCGGGTCTTCTGTACTCCTCGGTCTTACCTGTTCCTCAGTCCAGCGGTGTCCTCACCGTCTTCTATCCCCAGCACTGGCATCTTTAGTGTGGCACCTGGCTGTGACAGCTTGCGGCTTCACAGCCGGGTGCACACTACACATACGCGAGAAGCGCCGTGCTTTGTGAATGGTCTGGCAGTCACATGTCCCAGAAGACAGAGAGGGAGGACAACTCTGCGGAAGTGGGAGCGGGTACCTGTCAAACCCCCCCTCTGCTCCCCAAAGGTCAGCAGTGTTTAATCATCTCCTGTACTATGTCCGCAGTCTCTGGTCATCTCCTGTACTGTGTCCGCAGTCTCTGGTCATCCCCTGTACTGTGTCCGCAGTCTCTGGTCATCCCTGTACTGTGTCCGCAGTCTCTGGTCATCCCCTGTACTGTGTCCGCAGTCTCTGGTCATCCCTGTACTGTGTCCGCAGTCTCTGGTCATTTCCTGTACTATGTCCGCAGTCTCTGGTCATCTCCTGTACTACGTCCGCAGTCTCTGGTCATCTCCTGTACTATGTCCGCAGTCTCTGGTCACCTCCTGTAGTATGTTCACAGTCTCTGGTCATCTCCTGTACTGTGTCCGCAGTCTCTGGTCATCCCCTGTACTATGTCTGCAGTCTCTGGTCATCTCCTGTACTATGTCCGCAGTCTCTGGTCATCTCCTGTACTATGTCCGCAGTCTCTGGTCATCTCCTGTACTACGTCCGCAGTCTCTGGTCATCTCCTGTACTACGTCCGCAGTCTCTGGTCATCTCCTGTACTACGTCCGCAGTCTCTGGTCATCTCCTGTACTACGTCCGCAGTCTCTGGTCATCTCCTGTACTACGTCCGCAGTCTCTGGTCATCCCCTGTACTACTGTACTATGTCTGCAGTCTCTGGTCATCTCCTGTACTGTGTCTGCAGTCTCTAGTCATATCCTGTACTATGTCCGCAGTCTCTGGTCATCCCTGTACTATGTCCACAGTCTCTGGTCATCTACTGTACTACGTCCGCAGTTTCTGGTCATCTCCTGTACTACGTCCTCACTCTCTGGTCATCTCCTGTACTATGTCTGCAGTCTCTCGTCATCTCCTGTACTATGTCTGCAGTCTCCTGGTCATTTCCTGTACTGTGTCCGCAGTCTCTGGTTATCTCCTGTACTATGTCCGCAGTCTCTGGTCATCTCCTGTACTATGTCCGCAGTCTCTGGTCATCCCCTGTACTATGTCTGCAGTCTCTGGTCATCCCCTGTACTATGTCCGCAGTCTCTGGTCATCTCCTGTACTATGTCCGCAGTCTCTGGTCATCCCCTGTACTACTATACTATGTCCGCAGTCTCTGGTCATCCCCTGTACTATGTCCACAGTCTCTGGTCATCCCCTGTACTATGTCCACAGTCTCTGGTCATCCCCTGTACGATGTCCACAGTCTCTGGTCATCTACTGTACTACGTCCACAGTTTCTGGTCATCTCCTGTACTACGTCCTCACTCTCTGGTCATCTCCTGTTACTATGTCTGCAGTCTCTCGTCATCTCCTGTAGTATGTCTGCAGTCTCTGGTCATTTCCTGTACTGTGTCCGCAGTCTCTGGTCATCCCCTGTACTATGTCCGCAGTCTCTGGTCATCCCCTGTACTATGTCCGCAGTCTCTGGTCATCCCCTGTACTATGTCCGCAGTCTCTGGTCATCTCCTGTACTATGTCCGCAGTCTCTGGTCATCTCCTGTACTATGTCCGCAGTCTCTGGTCATCCCCTGTACTACTATACTATGTCCGCAGTCTCTGGTCATCCCCTGTACTATGTCCACAGTCTCTGGTCATCTACTGTACTACGTCCACACTCTCTGGTCATCTCCTGTACTATGTCTCAGTCTCTGGTCATCTCCTGTACTATATCTGCAGTCTCTGGTCATCTCCTGTACTATGTCCGCAGTCTCTGGTCATCTCCTGTACTATGTCTGCAGTCTCTGGTCATCCCCTGTACTGTGTCCGCAGTCTCTGGTCATCCCTGTACTATGTGTCCGCAGTCTCTGGTCATCTCCCCTGTACTGTGTCCGCAGTCTCTGGTCATCCCCTGTACTGTCCGCAGTCTCTGGTCATCCCCTGTACTATGTCCGCAGTCTCTGTTCATCCCCTGTACTACTATACTATGTCCGCAGTCTCTGGTCATCCCCTGTACTATGTCCACAGTCACTGGTCATCTACTGTACTACGTCCACAGTTTCTGGTCATCTCCTGTACTACGTCCACACTCTCTGGTCATCTCCTGTACTATGTCTGCAGTCTCTCATCTCCTGTACGATGTCTGCAGTCTCTGGTCATCTCCTGTACTGTCTCCGCAGTCTCTGGTCATCTCCTGTACTATGTCTGCAGTCTCTGGTCATCTCTTGTACTGTGTCCGCAGTCTCTGGTCATTTCCTGTACTGTGTCCGCAGTCTCTGGTCATCTCCTGTACTATGTCCGCAGTCTCTGGTCATTCCCCTGTACTATGTCTGCAGTCTCTGGTCTGGTCATCTCCTGTACTATGTCCGCAGTCTCTGGTCACTGTACTATGTCCGCAGTCTCTGGTCATCTCCTGTACTATGTCCGCAGTCTCTGGTCATCTCCTGTACTATGTCTGCAGTCTCTGGTCATCTCCTGTACTACATCCGCAGTCTCTGGTCATCTCCTGTACTGTGTCTGCAGTCTCTGATCATCTCCTGTACTATGTCTGCAGTCCATTGGTTCAGAATATTTTTTTTCTTGTTTTCCTCCTCTAAAACCTCTTCTGGTCAGGTGTGTCTTATGGAGTGAAAAATACGGTAATAAATCTAGGCAGATCAGGCAATTTTGCAAATATATAATTTTTTCACTTTCCTTTTTATTGTTTCCCCTTTTCATGAAGTATCACTGCTTCTGCCAGTCCAAATTTATTGTCTGCTGACAATGATATCTGCCGACCTCTTTAAGCATTTGTTTTAAAGAAAGCATCTCCTGAACCACTATAGATGTGAATGCTTCCAGTACTGAATCTACTGCAATGAACAATCACATTTTACATTTTTTTTTAAGGGATACACACCTTCATACAACAAATGCTGGATATCAGTCTGTCTTCTTTATATGAGGATTTCCCAGGCCCACTTATTATTTAAAATATGTCTATGTAAAATGGATGAGATGAATCAACATATTTGAGCTGCAAAACCTTGATGTGAAGTTGATTAATAATACATTAACACAATGCATGTATTTAGTAATCAACTTTCAGCAAGCTTGTTATTGGTCACCAAGATAAATGTGGGGTCCCATTTATGACAATACACATACAGCTGTTTTACATGACCTGCTTTTGGGCTTATAGGGAATAAGGTGATTCAGGACCATGGTCAGCTCTCTGTGCTGTATTCACCATTCCTATGCAGAGCACAGGTGCAAGACCAAACTGGAAATAAAAAACAGCTGTGGTAGGTAAACCACCCCAGCCTACCTTTGTGTACCTGCCCAGACCTCCCCAGTCTGGCTGTTTATTTTTTTCACTACTGTGGACTTCAGCTTCATTTTGGTTCTCAAGTACAAAATGTACATAGACCATCGAGAACAATGTTTTATTATTTCACTGAGGCTGAGCAACATACAGATGATCACCCAAGTCTATATAAATAATCTCACATAGAATGTCCCTTTAAACTTATTAAATAGCTAGGACACTGCAGATCCACAAAAAAACCTGGAGAATTCCTATTTCATCATTAATTAGACTATAAGAGTAGGCGCTTTGTATGCCAATGTGGTGGCTTTTTATTACATTTTACCTGCACATTGTACTCAGTTGTACATTTTTTTAATTGTTCTGCAAGATGATGGCATTCTTCTTCATTGCATGTATACATAACCATATTTGAGCCTATATAGGGCAGCTTTGATAATCCAGTTTTTGTTAGGGAGGTAAAAAGGATGCAAATTACTAATGGCTTGTGAACTGGGGGTAGGTAGCAGGTACAAAGCTCCCTGGGGTGAGCACACTTTCAGGCACAGATACCAATCCATTGATGTAATGACAATACAATGCTATTCACAGGTGCTGTACAGTGATTCACAAAATCAACAAGGCAAACAAAATCTGAAACAAAATTCTAGCTGTACTCTGGCACTAACTACACAAGTCCACGTGCTATCAGGCTGAGCAAGCCTAATGCTTGTCAGTCTCCACATACTGTATGCAGATTTAGAGCTTTCACCAGCTTTGCCGCTCTTACAGACACGATTTGTCTGTTTCATAGGCTCTGGAGCACTGACTGAGTTCCAGGTGATCCTAAATTGCAAAACCTGAACTGGGCAGAGAATTCGGAGGTCTCCAAAAGTGTACAGGAGGAGCCCGGAAGACATGTAAACCTCGAACAGGACTTTTCCAGGCACTCTTTGAGACACTCTGCTACAGGCTTTACCTAGATCAAATTTTTCTTTTCAGGGCCATATAGTAAAACAGTTGCCTTAAGTATTGAAAATACAAAACATGATGAAGTCAAAAGATAATACTTTTTTCAGAAATTATTCTCACTATTTTAACAAATGAAGGAAGATCATGGCACCCACCTGTACTCTACTGTATGTTCTTTTGTGCCTGCCTGGCATACAGAGCTTCCACTAGACCAGTTGGATTCTGTCACCATTCTCCTTGGTCCATCTATGGTAACTTGAATTATACTGGAGCAAATACAGATGCTGTGCTCATAAGCCTATCCTTGTTCCCAGTGGCTACAGTAAACAACATCAGGCATTTATACCAGTATAAGAAGAACCCTATAGTTCAGGGGAGTTAAAGAGTTTGGAGTGTGGGCAGGAGAGATTTTTGGACCAGTTTTCAACATTGTGGCTTCACCTTGTGTATTCGGCAGCATGGCTTTGCAGTTACATTGCTTGGACACCATTTTATTGTAGAAGGTTGCAGCTACTTTTTTTGTAAATTCTTTATTTATAATTCACAGAGCAATATACAGTTGACAGGAGTCAGTCAAAATACATTTTATAGGCATTTGGGAATCAGTGGTCTGCACATATATTGCAATTTTGTTGAAAGGCTACAACCAAAACATCAAACAAGACTGTTTTAGTACATTACAAATGGTAAAGACCTATGTGCTGCTATGTTCCAACTTTTAATAATAATATCAGGGAAGAAGATTTCTGCACTCACTCCTCTGGTGTACTCACACTCAAAATAAATAAATGAAAAAATTGTGGTGCTATATCTCATCATAAATAGAACCATGAGCTTTAGAAACATAAAGTGACAGTCCAAGAAATTTTTGTTATCCAGATAATAAACGTCCAATATATGTTGTGTTATCATCCAGCAATAATCAACACTGTGCTTGACTTGTGGCCCCACTCCCTGCTCACCTTGACCATTGACCTATACATTATAATAGGCCAAAAACTCGCTTTATAAGGAAAATGTTTCTCCAAATTTGTGATCCGTGATGTGTTCCTTCCACGTATTATGCTTCTTTAGACTCCAGATCTGTGTAAAATAAAACAGAAACATACCATAGTTCAACACCGTTCTATAGAACCAAAAATTAAATGTACAGTATCCACTCACATTAAACAAATGACATGTGACTCCGAATTATGGTGAACATATATGCATTACTTCACCGTGACGACTATATTGTGGTGTTTCCCAGCATCAGGTAGGTGTACCATGCACTCACCTTCTTCCCTGACCTAACAAATAGGTCATACACGCTT